TCTCTCTCTCTCTCTCTCTCTCTCTCTCTCTCTCTCTCTCTCTCTCTCTTACTCTCTCTCTTTTTCTTTTCGCACTGAGCACGCGTCAAAAGCGCATCAGAGTGACCCGCGACGCGTAAATTAGTCTTGCCATTCCGAGTTGGAAAAATATTACGTGGGACAAATGGTGACGAATGGCATCCTCATTGCGATAGGCGTCACTAATTATGCCAGCTCGACGGGAATAACGAAGTTTTATTACGCGATCGTGTCTGACGTCAACCCGCTGCCTACTATCAAGTGCAAACAAGATAGGTTTAGCCTTTGACATAACGGACGCCACAATGAGAGTGACGCGTAGCTCTCTCCGCCGTCTGGATGCACCTTCGTGATTGCATGTAAATGAGCGGATACACGCAGCCACGTTGCATGCCCTGGCCTATGTCTCACCACCACGCGTGCAAGCTCTTTTCATGATCACAATGACGCTATCCCTCGTGCCTCCAAGGCGACGATAAGGAAGCTTCTCGTTTTAATAAGCATAACATATTTCGCGCCGCGCCGCCATCGATCGTCGTAACGTGTAACTTTCATTCCCCTGATCGATAGTTCTTGATCGACAAGTGCAATACAGTGAACGCTATTCTTTCACTAATATGGTAAGGAGCTATTCTGAGCATCTATGTACACTGAGAAGAAAATATTTGAAAGTTTATTTATATGATATAAAGAGAGATATACTTTCTGTGAAATAAAGCTTATTTCAGTTTATGAGATACGTTTTATTTCTGTAAATAAATCTTATTACTCGCGAGTAAATTGTCAAATATATTTTTCTCAATGTAATAATTATTACAATTGGTTGACTCAATTTATTTAGACAAATCAGTGGGTGTGATTTACACCGGCGGTGCGGAATTCGCGAACCAATTGCACGCAAAGACGTAATACTGTAAGAAATAATGACCTAAAAAGAGAAGTTACGCGCGCCTGCTCTTTCTCTCATATTTTATAAAATATCCGCGCCTGCGTCACGCACAAACTTAATGTCAGCTTAACAATAAAGGGTTAAATATAGTGAGGCGGTCATGCATTAAGTATAATGCAATATCCTAAAACATCTTTTATACAAGAACAATGAATTTTTTCTCAAATCTCTCAACCTTTTCGGTAGCTAATGGGAACATTTAGAGAACATGTGGGATTTTTTTATCGATTAAGTGGACATTCGCGACAACAAGATGACTAGAGAACAAAAGGGACGGACGTCCCTGTTAAAAATGATAGCAAAGCATGAAGCAACGTCGACGCTGAAATTGGTTACATTCATTCGTCCGTTGATCGCGATTCACCAGCGGCACGTATTAATAATCCGCAAATGTAGCCGGCAAAGGTTCCCGCGGCGCGAGCCAGCGTTATCGATCACTTTGCACGAAACATTCGACGCGTTATACTACTCGCAGCCGACGGCTGCGTACACTCGGACTCTTTCCCCTGGGCCGTTGCGATATGTTGCTCTACTACTGAAATCTTACTATGGCCAGTCTAGTCGCATCGATCGTGACACATCTGCTAAATATATAAACACAACATATAATCGCGCGCACAACAAATTCAGCAATATTGCAGATTTTTTTTGCAAGTGGAAAATAATACAGTCAGTCGCGGCTCTTCTCGCAATTCCTGCGATGCTTGCGTAGAAATCTTCAACTAATAATGTGGAGAAGAACGCGGGAAAAGAGTCGTGAAGTTTGACTGTAATGTACGAATTAACGCGTTTTGTTTGGAGGAAGCGGAGAGAATTTCTGGCTCTTATATGATCAAATTTAGGTCATAAGAACTAGAAATTCTATGTCCTTTAAAAAAGCAAAACGTTAGTTAGCAAGCGTTAGTTTGTGGGATAGTATTGCTCAGATATCTTAGAAATAATAAAATTTTTTGAACAAATTTTGAAGATTAATTTGTATTGCATTTAAAAGTGCTTATATACCATTTGATATTAATTCAGAGTCTTGATTAAAACATGATGACGTTAAATGATATTCTAATGACAGATCAGTGATGTTTTTGTCGTTAATAGTACGTTATTAATATGTAACTTGGCGTTACCCTGCTACCTTGGCAGTATTTTAAACTGTGCCGTTATGAAACTATATAATGATATTGCTATCTAAAGGAAAAAATAATAAAAAAAAAACAATAACAAGAGCTTCAGTTTTTGTATACATATACTTTAAGTATTCAAAATGATGTATTTCATTACTATTTAGAGATAAAAATTTGACGAAGAAGTTAGAAAGAATACAAAATAAAACTATGGTATTAAAGTAATGTTATTACTCAACTATATTGTGTATATATACACAAATGCGTGCATACACACACACACACACACACACACACACACACACTCGCACGCACGCACGTACGGACACTATATATTTTATACGGAAAATAGAAATATTAGCGTATATATTTTTAATTTTTAATCATTAACTTTTTTACTATATGGGCAAAAAATACATCCTCAAAAACTTTATGTTAATAGGACCGAATTTTTCTTTTCGACGAAAATATTTTGCGACGAAATTATTCTGAATATCCAAAGTTTTCGGGAAAATGATTCTTACATATCGCGATAAAACATTTCTTGTACTTTAATATTACAGTATTGTATTTTATATATGACTTTAATATCACGATATTGTATTTTATATGTGATCACATACACACAGACACATATATTACATAGTCCCTGTAATCCCGTCTGAATGAAAATTATAGCCAACGATAACGACTATCGTCGTATATAGCCTGTTATTTCGAATGTTACAATAAATGGTATGAGATACAGTCTTTATCTCGAGGTCGAGCGGTGTAGTGTGTGTTCGTATACATTCACATTTATATTCCGATACGCATGAATACAGAGTCATGAATAATCGCGAGCCGTAATTGAAGTTTAACTTTAATCGTCGCTAGAATGTAAAGATCTTACACTCGATGGCATTGACTGGGATCGATATTATTGGCGTTTTTTCGCGTTTAGGTTTCAATTTATCTTACGAAATATCTACTTGACACGAGATCGTGTTAACGACGTGTTGACGTTGCTTTCTTTTCCCAGATACTCTTCCGCGTTCAATTTCGGGCAACTCCCTCAA